ATCTTTGCCTTCTTCTTCTTCTCTGGGAGAGTGAAGGCCTTTGAGGATACAGCTCCCCACCTCCACTACTACTGGGTGCCCATCCTGGTCAGTCTGGTGTAAAACATTCAGAATCACACAGATTTACTGTGTCGTTCTGTTTTCATAGTTTTGGTTTTGAATACTGTGTCTGACATGTACGTTTGGCTCCTCAGACTTTAGTTGTCGGCTCGTACCTCATCGCCCACGGATTCTTCAGCGTCTACGCCATGTGTGTGGACACGCTGTTCCTCTGCTTCTGTAAGTGACCTCAGTCTTCTTATGTGTTTGTTGTAAACTGTCAACACTAGTGTGTGATGAGTGCGACATAAAAGATATTTTGCATTGAGGAACGAGCTCAGTGGAAAACCAAAGACTAATGATCAGCTGAAACTTTTCTCGCTCTGCTCTTGGTGTCGGGCTGTCACTAATTCTAAACTGCATGAATACGATGCGCCACACTTGGATATTTCCCCACTGTTCAGAGTAACAGTCTGACTTACTGTTTGTTAACCTGGACGTTGTTCCTGCTTGGTGATGAACTGTGACTTTCACAATCTAAAATGCCTGTGGGTGCTTTGGCTTGCTTGCTGTTTGACTTTCTTTCTCTTTTTTTTTGTCTCTTCTTTCTCTTTTTCTCACTTCCCACATTTCACCGCCTCACTTTTCCCCTTCCTACTGGCCTTGTAACACATTTTTTATTTTTTATTTTTACCCTCATTTACACGCTAATTTTCTATCCCAACCATTAACACATCCAAACACACACAAACACAACAAGGTGAAGACCTGGAGCGCAATGACGGCTCAGCTGCACGGCCTTATTACATGTCGTCAACTCTCCACGAGATTCTGTGGAAGAACAAGTCCGAGGATCCGTCTGCGTCCTCTGCTCAGCAGCAGCAGCACGACGAGGACGTCGAACTGAAGCAGCAGCAGACTCTGGAGGAGGACGCGGCTTAGAGACGACCAGTTTTGTGGGCAAAGACTTGTCACTGACTTACAGGCACAACAAACTCCAGGATCAGTTTGTTTTAACCATTTGAACTTATGACAGAACGGAGCGTTATCGTTGCCCAGTAGGAAACTCTCTTTTGTTCGAGTGCAGTTCAGCTACATGACACCGTGTGGCAGGTTCCAGTGTTTCGCTTCAGTTCATTTAAGCAAGTGGATGCAACCCTATGAGTTGTTCACGTAGATTAATCGTAGCAACTGGACTTGCTTGAGTTCCTTGAAGATGTTCCACCTCTCATCCAAGAGGCTTCATCACTTCTGACTGACTCAAGCAAGTCCTGTTGCTACGATTAATCCACGAGAACAACCCTGACCTGGAGGACTGAGGATCTTCACAGACAACATGATGAGTGACAAACTGAATGAGACGTTTTAGCATATTTGAGTAGAACACTGTTTTCTTTTATCATCTATGTGTCCTACAACAGAAGGGAACATGGGCCGTTAGATGTTGACCAATCGCTAAACCCCTCCCCCTGGTTGTCTCTTTGAACTTTGGATTCTAGATGGATCACTGGTATCATCTGAGGAGTTTAACTTGTGGGACAACTTCAGGCTGTATTTAGAAAAACGGCAAATCCACTGTGTGGTGTTTCACCAGTCCCAGATACTGTCAGACTGAGTGACTCGGGATTTTAACTCGCTTGTGGACTCAGGAGTTTCACCACAGACTGTGTAGAGAAGATGGACGTAGCCACTTAAAGCTAATGTTGCTCTATTTCTAACAGCCAGCAGGGGGCGACTGCTCTGGATGCAGTTGTATTGGAGTCCATGAGGAAATGACCTGATTTCTCACTTCTTTTATTTCCCCAGTAAACATTTTTCTAATGAGTTTATGGTCTCAATCACTAGTTTGAGGTCTGCTTTAATACAACATGATGGTCATTGTGTATATTATGGTCCCATTTAGAGTAAAATAGAAGAGAAAGCAGGTCGTGTTTTAAAGCAGTGCCACCATATGGGCGTCACCCCTCACTGGTCTGGTTTAAAAAGAGCCAACAGCCCAATTCCAATCTGGAGGTTTTCAGAACAGTAGTCGACAAACTAGTGAGGCTACGGCTTTTATGCTACTGGAGGCGTGTTGGTTACGCCGTCTTTTAAAAGCCCTTTTTATTGTAATCTTCCAACATTCTGCTTAAAAATACAAACTTCATTTAAGTCTACCAAAAAAAGCCTAAATCTGATTTCTGTAAGAAGTTGAACGGAGTATTTTCTTAGTTTTCTTTGACATACTACTACTACTACTACTGCAGGACAAGAGCAAGGCTTGTTTCTTGATTTTCATGTCCTGTACATTTAAAAAGACAGATTTCTTTCCGTTATCTCATTGAGCTAACGTTAGCTGAATTAGCTAGCAAGCTACAGCTGATAAAATCGAAGCAGCAGTTGCAATTTTAGTCGGAAAAACAATAATGTGTAGCGTGCTTTTTGTCTCCCTCATCTTACAAACAACCACCCACAGTTTCTAAAAATGAGTTTTAGTTCAAACAAACCTGTCATTGCTATCGTTGAAGCTAAAAGGGGCGGGGCTTAGCGACGGTCAACACATTGGAACGAGCGCTTTAAAATGTACACCGGACTCTGGTGTGTGTCTGATTTGTTGCATGATTAACGTGATGGAGAAAGTCCGTCTCTGGTCGGAGGCGCTCGGTTTCTCGGCCAGACCCGCCTTCACCGTTCAGGGACAGCGTTCAGAGTGAATGTAGCTGAAACGTGTTTGCGTTAGACGAACGCTTCACTCTGAGCTGACGTTTCTAATCTCTGCCGCTGCCTTTCTCATAGTTCCTCCCACTGCCACGAGCCAGTAGAAACTTGAAGCCGACCATGTGCCTACTTAACATCTTTTTAAGGGGAACCGATGCGGTCAGAACCACACGTTCATCTCAGAGAAGCACTTTAATTTGTCTTCACACTAAAAGCCATAACGGGTTCCTATCTGTATAAACGACTGCTGTTTTGTATCTTACGTTGACGTTTTGACTGTAAATCGATGTGGGTTTGCATTTCGTGGCTCTTTTAGAGGAACGTGTGCTAAATAAACTGTGTTTGAGGCAACAAGTCTTCACTGAGAGGATGGAAAGACCCTTTTACATGTTATCCATGTGTGTCTACTACTGATTAAAGCTACTGCCTTGTTTTCTACTGAACCGGAGAGTTTTGTCGTTCACTACTTGTGATGCTCAGTTTGGGCTGCCTGTACTTAAAAAATGAAAACTTTAACGCCTGTCCATGTATTCTGTCTCCAGTGGAGGATCTTGAGAGGAACGATGGGAGCGCAGAGAGGCCCTACCTGATGCCTGAGAGCCTCCGCAAAGTCCTCAATAAGAAGAACAAGACGGAGGCGGCTGACTAGAGCGTTCCTCTGAACCCCGCTGAGGCCAGACTGTGGGTTCAAATTGACTTTTTTTTTTAAATTGAGTGAAAACTCAGCTCGGACAGGAATCTAACGCCATCAGTCACCAGGAGCCAACTTCAGTCCGTCGTGTCGTCTCGGAGCAGTTCCACATTCCCTCGTCCTGTTTTCTGAATGAGGTTTTCCACTGTGTCTGGTGCTGGATTGTGGATTTTTAAAGATTCATTTTTATTGTGAAGTCAGCAAACATCCAAACCCGTCTGTTGTAAATGTTTTTAAATCAAAGGAACAGTTAAATTTGAGCATGTTTGTTTGTTTGTTTTTTAAATATTTGAGTGTTACATGAAGGTACACAAGACAGTAATCTATGAAAGTTGTTTAATATGTTTTGTTTTTTTTCTTCGTTTCAAATAATCTTGTGTTATATCTCAACACGTATTTAACCGCATTGTTACCAAAGCCATTACAGCCGGTCAGGCATCGTTTTATAGACTCTCGTGTAAAGCATCTGATGCTCTTCTGCACCTTTTTATCAGCAAGCATAAATATAAATAGGAACTAAAGTTACAAAAACAAACGGCGGAGTTGATGTGTAGGATTCTATTTGGGTGTTTGTGTCATATTTGTGGAGCTGAATTGTTTTCGATTAAAACATAGTTTTCTAAATAAATTCTTCGGGACTCGTCTTTTGCCCCCCAGAATCCTCTTTGACTGGACTTTGAGTGCTGATGGTATTCCACGGGGGACTCGTTGTTTCTGGAGTTCCTTCCCTACAACCTGCACGTTACATAAGTCCTCATTGTGCAACGTAGCACACTGACCCCCCGACACGCCATAAAAACTTTTATTGCTGCTCCACTTTGGACCCGGAGAAGCTGTGTGTTGAGATGTTTTCACTTCGTCCGGCGCTGATGTGGGTCAGTCAAAAGTCTGGATACACATCTACTTTATAAAGGAAATGTAACTAAGTACTTTTAAAATACTACTTGAAGGAAATCTGTGATACGTTGTACTTTTTGTACTCGGCTGCAATTATTTGACTTTCAGCCATTTTTGCACATAAAGCAGAAACAATTAGTCGATCAGCTGATTAGCTGACTGACAGAATAAAGTACGATTTACTGGTTAAACTTACTTTACTTGCCGTTACTTTCATGCCTCAGAACAGACTTTGTGAGAACGATAACGGCATTAAGTCTGCGTTGTTCTTATTGTTTGACAGAAATCTGTTTTTCTTTCATTTCTGCTCAATGAAAATCAACTCTGTCATTTATTTCTTAGTAAATTAACGCCTAAATGAACAAAACAGGTTAAAATATATATGGTTTTTTAGTTTTTAAACAGAATTCCCCACTTAATTGTGATGCTAGCTCACACCTCATCGAACCACATCTAAAACTGGAAAATTCTTCTGTGGAGAAACTCCAGCTGAGATTTTTGTGCTGTTCAGAAACACACCAATACAGCGCTGCCCACGTAATGTCAATCCGCTTATAGAATATCCTGTTTATAATCCTAAAATATGGAAGTCCTGAATCACTTCCTATATAACCTGTAGGAAAACAGCCCGTTCATTGTCTTAGAATAATGTCACAATCCCGGTTTTTGTCATGACGAAATTCCCCGAAATTGATTCCAGGAGTAACTTTTGCTCGTTTAAAGTCACGGCCGGCCAACTGTTTCGGCTCACAGGCGGAGTTTCGGTCATGCGTGGCAGATTATCATTATTTTCACACCCAAACTTGCCGCCATCTTGAAACCCACTTGTTGGAAGATCCCGGATACAGTCATAATTCCATCCTGAACCGAGGGTGTGATAATAAACAGGCAGCACTGTATAATAGTTTTGCACAAATGTATTAATGCTGTCTAAATAATAATAATAATATCCTCTGCTTTTATTAATAACATCGAAATGAAACGACGTGCAGTCAAAGGAAGAGGTTTCTGTTATTTTGTACACATTCCTGTATGATAACATAACAGCATGTTCCAGAGAGAACTTTTAGGAAATGCCGTCTTATGACTGTGTGACTGCTATTCTATGTGATATTCCATCTCCCTCCTCTTATATAATTACTGTAGATAGTTTAACAGTGAAATAAGATAAAGGGTTGACCCACTAAAATGGAAGATTAGTGCTCCTCGAAGAAGCAAAATAGAAATTTAATTCCTTTTACTCGTTTCCCCTCGCTTTTTGCTCTGTATTTGTACGAAAAATGCTATAAAAATTACACAAATGAAGTTGAGTATTTCCTTCTATTTCACTACATTTCACAGGGAAGTATCACATATTGTTTTACGTTTATCCGACAGCTTTAGTTGTTGACAGCTCCACCAAGTAGAGACTTCCCTTCTCAAGAGGATTTATTTTCATGAAACATTCCATTGATCTAACATCACCAGCAAGAGAGACGCCGAAAAACAACGACAAATCTCTCAAAACTGTCATGTGCTGCAGGACCGAGACTGGAACACCATCTGCCGCTCTTCGATCCCAGCGCCGCTCAGTGATTTTTCCAGTCAAACCACACAGATGATGGGAGGCGCGTTGTGTTTGGTTTGGCCTGGAATCGATCTGTCAGCGGTGAACACGGATGTAGCTTCAGAAGCAGGTGGAATTTTTTCCCTCTCGTTATATCACAGCTCCTCTTCATCCAATAGTGTTTTCATCTCTACACGATCAATTCAGCAGCCGTCCCTGCTCCCCGCTCAACCTGACCTCACTTCATTATGTTTGCAGTCAAACATTGAGAAATAATTTGGGGCCGGCGATCACAAAAGATGCTGTTTTCTCAGCAGTTTTTGCGTCAGAGTTCCCCGAGTGGTTAAACGAGGCTTGTGGGCTGGAGAGGGTTTTTCTTTCATGGCTGCAGTCTCCATGGAGAGCACCTGAACGGCCTGAGAGGTGGACTCGTCCACAGGAGTCCTTCAGACCGACACGTGCCTGCGATATGTGCTAAATGCCAAAAATGTGAAACAGCTGTTTGGTAATACCTCGGTGTGTTTCCATTTCATCCATTTTTATGTTAAACTGGTTGATAATGAAAGTAGTGAAGGTTTGCAGAGTGGCTTTGTTTGGATGTTTCCTCAAATGGATCATTGGCATTGACTTCTGATAACTGACCTGTAAACCACTTTGCATAACTCTGAACTAGTTGGCTCGAGTTTCCAGTTAGAGTCACCTGTCGCTCGTTACATCCGGTTTCAAAAAAATCAAGATATGACGGCTGAACTCTTTCATACAGTTCTTCAATCAACTAGAAAAGCTGGAGGCTCTAAAACCAAAACAACAAGCTAAAGGATGCTAAAATGCTCAGTAGGGATTAACAGGTACAGGAGGGTTGGTTGATAATGTTTCGTGTCTTCATCGCAATGAGCACCAGCTTTAAAACGACACATATCCATGTTTTAAATTGTTAATTAATTAAATCAGTGATAACATATCGAATGATTGAAGTAATGTTTAAAACGTGGCTGTAAAGAACACGACAACGACGGCAGCTTTAGATCTAAATGTGCTAAAGTGTTTCTTCACTCACACGAGTCCCTGTCATGAGGGTCAAGAATGCCAAGACTGTCTGAAGGTATTTGTCTCCTGCGTAGGGCTGATAAAGAGCCGTCTGCCTGCATTCCTTTGTTCTGCCGTAACCTTTGTGCGTCAGTCTACCTCTTTGAATTCCTCAATCCTGAGGCCAAACGCCCGAATTCTGTGAATTGTCTTCGATTTCTAGTGTGTATTTCTTCATGGTAGAGAACGAGGAGCGACAAGAACTTTAACGTCCACTGATTACGTCAGAAACCGATCCAGGTATCGAGCAACAAACACTTCTTTTTGGCCCAATCACTTCAAGCATCGGAGGTGCAGATCGTAATCCCCGAAATACGTGAACGAGACAAACATCTGTCCTGAAAACGTTCAGCTGACTTCTGCGTAACACGGTTTGAAGGGCTCTTGATGGACGATGTTTAGAGGTGACAGTGTTCAAAAGTGAAATACCAGCAGACTGAGCTGGAATGTGAACAAGGACATTTAGTCACCTCCTAAATAATGTACTGAAATATTTCTATGTTGTGCTACTTTCTTCTTCTAGTCTATTATATTTTAGAGGCAAATATTGTTCTTTGTACTCCACTGCATGTATTTTAATACTTCAGTTATTCATTATGTTGCACATTATAAATATAAATCAACAAATAAATGCTATATTACTGTAGATGACGCCACCCTGCACTGATAAAAAACTTTAAATTGAAGCGATGTACACATTAATCATCCAATAACACATTTTATTTTGCACATCTACTACTTTTGGCACTTTAAAGCGTATTTTCACACTAATACGTTTGTGCTTTTATAAAAGTAGGATTGTAAACGAAGGACTTTTATTTGTCACTGACCTTTTTTGTAAATACAGGATTTAAAAATGTCTTCCATCAGCGCCTACAGATTGGCTCTCAGAAGTCAGCAAGTTCTACGATTTGGTCCACACTCAAATATCTCAGTAACTATTGTATAAAATGTTTTACCTCTCTGGTCCCTGGAGGATTATTCCTACTGACATTGTCCCCTGATTTTACTTAAACACCACCATGATGCACAGTTGAAATCTAGATTATTTAACCTCAAGCTGGAAGGCAAATGTGAAAGCTAAAGGAGCTGCTTGATGCTAAGCAAAGAAAAAGAAAATGGTTCATAAATAGAGTTCTAAGAGTTACAGCATCAGCAGCGACTTTAAACAGGTTCTGCATGTGGAAAAAAAAAGTGCATTATTTACCTACAACAGCTCAGAAACAGGCTCAGTTTTCCTGCCAAAGACTTGCAGGATGACCTGATGAAAGCAGGAAGTATCAGTGCAGACCTTAAGTAAAATACTGAACAAGAATCGACTTAATTCCCAGAAAGCCCCACTCCGTTCTTCACCAAAAAGACTTTAAAAATTCAAGAAAAAATGTGGTTCAACCTGCAGGAGTTCTAGGAATCTGCTGCGTGGAGTGTTGAGCATAAACTGGAAATGTTTGGATTCACTGAAGTCGGAACAACTGCTGTGTAAACTGAAGCTGGGTCACCACTGGACCGTCCAGGCAGACGGTGATGTGAGCCTTCACCCGCAGCAGCCAGAACTCTGATCTACAAATTGTTCCTGCATTTAGAATCCTTTGGTGGGATTTTAGGCAACACAGAAACCAAAGAGCACTTGCAAACTAGAGACATTTGTGCACGAGGAGTTAAATAAAATTAAATTGAGAGGCGTAAGAAACATGTGAGCCTTTACTGTTTGTGGGTCATGAAGGTCAAAAGGTGAACCTACTCTTAGTAAACTTCATATTATCTTCTCAGATGTTACTCAAATCCAAATTCATAATCTGTTTCTGACGGTTTACTGAGGCCTAAGTGGACGTGTCTTCATTAAATCTGCGCGGGTGTTGAACAATTTGGTTTGCAGCTGTAGGTACATGAACAGATGTTGGTTGGATTGACACAAACGTTCATGTCTTCACAGGATCACAGCTACAATTCCTCCATTTCTCATCTGTTTTTTTGTGTTTACAGCTGATTAGCAAATGTTAGCACACCAAGCTAGCAATGCAAACACTGTAAATATTACACCAACCAAATACCAGTGTGTTGGTATTGCCACCATGAGCATGTTAGTTCAGGTGGTAGAGTGAGTCAGTCGATGATCGGAAGGTCGGCAGTTCGATTCTGCCCTGTAACCTGTTTCATGGTCGTTGTGTCCTTGGGCAAGACACTTCACCACCTTGCCTGGTGTGAATGCGTATGAATGGATTGTTTGAGGTGGTGGTCGGAGGGGCAGAATGGCAGCCACGCCTCTGTCAGTCTGCCCCAGGGCAACTGTGGCTACAATCGTAGCTACCACCACCAGAATGAATGTGTGTGAATGAATAATTGACAGTGTAAAGTGTCTTTGAGTGTCGAGTAGCGCTATATAAATCTGATCAATTATTATTATTATTATTGTTAGCATGCTGATGTTAGTATCAAGCTCAAAAAAACACTGTGTCTAAGAACAACAGAGCTGCTGCTGTCGCGTGAGTGTAGAATCTAGATCATCTGATGCTAATCTGTTAGCGGCCGAGCAGAAGAACGTTCACAACCTGGACCGACAATTCCTGACATACAAAACGTTTGTTAAAAACTAAAGTCTCCTCAAACTCAGAGCTCATAAACGCCCTTCAGCTGAACTTATGCAATGCATTAAAGGAGATGACATTTAAGCAGCTGTATGGCGTCATATTTGTGTCTCGAGAGGACGAGTCCACGATGCCAACTCTGTCAGCGATGAAAGGGATTTGGAGGACCACACCTAAAGGCGTCAATGCGGGGACGTAACTGCTCTGGCAGCAAAATGGAAACCAGATCCGCGCCAGGACGTTGGACAAAGAAGAAACAAGAACGTCGCTTGTGTCGGTCGTTGCACTGCTTTTGCCAACACAAAAGCTTTAAACATGACGCCTGTGAAGTATCACGCACAAGCACTTGTAACCCAAACCGGCCGTGTGCGGCTCAGTGTCTCAGTAAGTCAGTGGGTGACACCAGCACATCCAGGTATTGTTGTCCGTCTCACTAGGAAGTGGAGAGCAGGACCGTGCATCGGTTATCAGGATGACGCACAGGGAAACGCCAGACACAGAAAGGCAGAGTGCATCTTTCACAGAAAAAGTTAAGTGTGTTGCTCCCTTCTTGGAAAAGCGCCATCTAGACCAGGTCAGCATCTGTTACATGTAAACAAACACAACACTGCAGGTGACCTGAATGCAAGTAAGAGTAAAAATTTAAAAAAATGGGATCAGAAGTAAGAACCAGCAAGTGTGAAAGCAATCTTCCTCAGTCTATAATTCTATTAAAGTCCAAAATCATTACCTGATCAGTTTGTGTACTTAATAATAATAAAGTGTAGAAACCAATCAGTTCATTAGCTTTATTTATACGGCACTTTTCTTAACAACATCACAAAATGCTTCACAAAATAATTAAAAACAGCAACAACACAAGAAATACAAGACAATAAAAGCGACTTAAAACCCTCGAAAATAAAGCTATCGAGCCAAATTTGAGTGTAATTACCGACATTGTTGCGTCAGTCCAACCCTTTAGAAATAAAGTTTGTAACTCTAAAGGTTGATCCCGATCGTGGATTTCGCAATCATGCATTGATTTGAATAGTAAGATCACCAGAATCACTTTTAAGAGTGTCACCGATCGGGGAATGACGTGATCACCGCTATCTGCTGATCTTAAATGATGTCCAGGCTTATCTGGTGATGTAGTCAGATCGTGTAAGGACTTGAAAGTCAGCGACATGTTTTTAAAATCAGCGCTATAATGAACAGGGAGCCGGGGGAAGGAGGCCTTCATGTAAGTTATATAATCTTGTTTGTGGCATTTGTCTTGCCGGACTCATGCTAATGCTGAAAAATAATGCTTGTTTAAATGTAATTCAGAAATCTACAAAATATATGTTTATTTTTTAATACAACTCATCTTTCTTTGAGCAACAGCAGTGGAATCTATAAGTAAGCGGTACAAATCACCCCATGGTTTCAACAAAACGTCTAAAAAACCCCCAACAAGCAGCCATTTTAGCTTAACGTGAAGTAAATATTAACACTGAAAGGCAGCAGCTAACGTTTTACACTTCAGTGCTTGTTATGATTTCCTTCTTTAATATATATATATATTTAAAAAATATAATGCATGTTAATAGTGATGATTTTAAAGGTAATGCTAGGTTGATTACCTTCAGACAAAGCTAGGCTAGCTATCTTCCTGTGTCCAGTTTTTATGCTAAGCTAAGCTAACCAACTGCTAACTTAACTTTATTTTGACAGATGCGGGCGTGGTATCTATGTTCTTATATAAAAGGAAAGAGAGTAAGACCAGTTTCCATATTAAAAATGTAACATATTGGACTGCATAGCATGGAATGCAATTTTACTTAATATTAAATTAATAAATACACAAATAAATATTCCTGTGGTATAAATAAACACAGTTAAGAGATACATTTGAGAATTTTTTATTTTAATTTTATTTTTTACAAATAAATGTAGTAGTTGAATAAATTGGTTATTTTAAGGACATTTTTTTTTCAAAGTACAGCTATTTATTCAATCAAAATGGTTCTTTTATACACACTATAAACCAGCTGCCATCTTAGCTCAGATAAATGTTGACACTGAAAGTCAGCAGCTAACTTTTTACATTTCACTGCTTGTTATGGATTTCTTATTTTTCCCAGCAAATAAAAAAAATAAAAAAATAAATAGTATAATGCGTTTTTATGTGATTTTTTTTTAAAATTGGGAGCTAGGCTAGCTAGTTTCCCTCTGCTTCAGGCTTTATGCTACGCTAAGCTAAGCTAACCGACTGCTAGCTTAAACTTAATGTTGACAGACATGGGCGTGGCATGTATGAAAAAAGACAGGGAGGCCATTTTTCATAATATTATTTTAAAATATCAGACAAACTGGACTACATGGTGTGAAATGCCATTTTATTCAATATTTAATAAAGAGATTAAAAATAACAATAAAAAAAGTAATATGAAGTAAAAGAATTTAGGTACTAAATGGGTCACGAAATATGTAAATAAACGAGGAAATATATGTAAATACCCGCCATTATTATTATTATTATTATTATTATATTTAAGTGGGCATTTATTCCATAATTTCAGAAGCATTAATTTTAAGATTTATTTCCTCGGAGTTTTAATTTATTTGACAGGAATATTCATGTATTTGTTTATTGATTTATTATTGATTTAAAGGGCATTCCACACACGGCACCCACGGACACACCTCTTCCCACGAGTGTCTCCTCAGTCGCCTCCCACTATAAAGCTCAGAGAGGTTCAGCCGCTCCGTCCACTGAGACGGAGGGAAGCTGTCTGCGGGTTTCGGCGGATCCAGATCACTGCTCTGGAACTAAAAAAAATAAAATAATAAGAAGAAAACAAGTGGGAACAGATCGACAAGCTGCACTTTTCTATACGGGCGTGAAATGTAGCGACGATCCCGCAGAGAAAGTCCCGTTTAGATTAATAACAGAGACGCGTGGATGTAGCAGCAGACCAGAGGAACAAACAGGCTTTAAACTAAACCAAGATGAAGCCTTAAAGTCTCCGCTTCACACCGTGGAAAGTTCAAATATCAGCGCAACTCCTGTCACAATGGAAAGCTACGCTCCTTAGGACGAGCAGGCGAGATGGGAAAATGGGAGTTAACAATGGTGAGTTGGATATGAACACATATATATGAATAAATAAGTTATTTATGGGCAGTTTGTTTGTACTGAAGCTGCACACAGCTATGAAGTCTTTCTGGAAAATTCACCCTCCAGAGCTTCCTAACAGCCCGGATGAGTGTTTCTCAAAGTATTTGTGAACAACAGAATGCAAATCCAGTGTGGTCGGGCTATTTCTGGTTGAAAATATGCGACCCAAACACAGTAAATCAACGCACGTCACTATAATTAAAGTTTCAAATTTTCATTCATGTGCAAATGAACCATAAAATATGTCAGCTGCCGTGTTACACAATCTTTATTAGGCCGGCCGCTGCATGCTTGTGTGACTCCAATGTGATGTTGATGCACCAGAGGCACGAATTAGAGGGTTGCAGAAGCCACATCCAAGAATTTGTGTATTTGCATCATTGTGTTTGAGTCGAGCCAGGTCAAGTCGCCGCGATTTATACAGCAGACGCCTACTCAAAGTGCTGTCCGGTGGAGAAAGGGCAAATTTACCCAACAAGGTTTAATATTAGGGTCAACCCTTTAGTGTTATTTATTATGTATATTTACCCGATTAATTTAAATACCTCTGTTAAGATCCTGCAATATGAGCTTGCCCCATAGATCTAGATATTACGGTGAAAAGAGTACAGTAGTATGTCTATATATTGTAGAAAACTGAAATATTAAGACTACACTATAATACATAAGGACGGTGGTGGAGGGGAGACCTCCAGCAGAACCAGGCTCGGGGTAACAGACCGTCTGCCTCGACCGGTTGGAGTTTCCGAAGACAAACGTGTCCGTCGATGCCCCATGATTTGCTTTGCTGAATCCACCATGAAATCATCCAGTAACCCCATAAAAAAAAAAACATGATTCTGATTTACATTGCAGCGCTCAGTACCACCGAGTCAGAACACAATGCCCATTATTTTCTGTTCGTGCAGCCAGATTGTATGGAAGACAATGGGCGCTTGTGCGACGCTGGTGAGCAGACACAAAAGCTAAATGTTGTGCTTTGCACAATTTGAATAATCATTTACATAATCGCACGAGACGCCCACCGCCGCTCAGATTGTAAATGATTGTTGCGAAGATGTTCCCTCTGCGGTATTTAGTCACCAGTGTTTTCTGTCATTTGTCCCGTACGGAGGAATTCAGATGTAAAAGCTGATAGCACGCATTGTTTTCTCTGGCAAGGAGAACTTAAATAACTTATTGAATTCATTCAAGGGCAGCTGTATAGATTTTTGTGTTGGTTGCACGCATATCCCCCACATGGATTAGATAGGGGTCACGCAAGAGCAGTTATTGACGCCCGGGGTTGTTATGCATTGGCATTTAAAGACACAGTCCGCGTAAAGTTTAGTCAAAATGTTCAAACAAATGTGAGGAGCTTGGTCAAGTTTGGTCAGCCCGATAATGTCAGCGGGGTTATCTCTGATCGTGGAGTCTTTAAATGTCTAAACTGGGTCATGGGGTTTGAGTGACATGGTCAGTGTAATGGAAGATGGAGCTGCAGTGCTGGATGTAAGTCGGGATATCTCAGCCTCAGTTGAGACAATTGTGAGCATAAAAAAAAGGTGTTTCTCACAAGTTTACACTCTTGGAGGCCAAACGACTTGAGCAGCACTTTAATGGAGGATAAAGGAGCAGCTGTGGATGTCTGTAGCAACGAATGTCAATGAATGTTTTGCATTGACATTGGATTAGCTGATTGAACACGTATGTTTGATGAAACAAAATGGGTTTTGTTCGTTTAAACAAGTGTCCTCCAATTAATGCTCAGCTTTCATCGACAAAAGAATGGCGTATAATTTATTATCACCCTGAAGAAGCCTTTTTAAATATTGCGACGCAGCTGTTGGGTCTTCATAGTACAGATGATCTGAGAGCCTGAGGAACATGCTCAGTATTCATATCCGATAAATCCCTGAGTACATTGTGTCAAGTGCTGTTGAACCCTCTGGAGGAGCCGTCGGTATAGAAGTGACTGACGATGAGATCAAACGAGGTTGGATCTCTTGTGTGAATACGTAATGACGAACCAGATGTTTAATAAAATCCTGATGTCTGCTGCTGAGCTAACCCCCTGTAATGTTTTTAATTGGTTATTGGAAGATGGTGATGGAAACTTAAAGCTCTCTGACATTTTACATTTGTTTTGGTGTTTTGCTTTCATGTAATATCGGACGTACTAACCTTTTGATAATCCTCTATTTGCCCATAAACATTTCCCTGTACCTACGAAGCTCTTGGAAACTTCTGGTTCCTGTGTTGTGGGGGGGTGATCGTTAAAATGAAAACTTACATAACCTCTAACAATTACTGTTATCGCACACCAACCTGTTTGTGCAGTCGCAGAAGGTTTGGACTAATGCCGATGAGCATGAGTAAATATTAGGTAGTTGTTGTGGTTCATATGGGATCAGAGTGAGTCTCAGCGGGATGTTGTGTCACCTGTTTGTCTGTAAGTTCACGTGGCTGTTGGAACGTAAACGTTGGCTGCTATTTTTACCTCCTCATGTCTCGACTTCTAATGTTTAGACCAGATACATTACTATGCGTACGTTCATGTGACCCGTATCCGTGTATTCCCGACATATGCGGGGTTTTCGATGACAGCTGCTCTCTCGGTGTGTTCGCTTGTACAAACCTCAAACATCGTTTTCCACCCCTGCCTTTCCCAGAACCCAGTGCAGGAGTGGGGCGAGGAGGTTGAGGATGGGGCAGTTTACGGGGTCACCCTGCGTCGTGAGCCCGTCCCCTCCTCCCCCAAACCCGGCGAGACGAGCCCCTGCTCTGGTTTTGTCCAGTACCGAACCTGCAAGGTGCGGCGCCTGAAGGCCGCCAGCCTGGACCTGCTGGTGAATCAGCTCCTCCACTGTGACTGCCAGGAGCAGGACTACAGCAAGATCTTCCTCTCCACGTACAGAACCTTCACCAGCACCACAAAGCTCATAGAGATGCTCTTCCAGAGGTAAACCACGCCTTCTTCTGCACTACTGTATGTCTGCTTTTGTCAGATTTTTAAAAAAGTTCTCCTCTAGTCATTGAATCAACACCTTTAAACACATATCAGTGTATCAACGTTACATATTTTAAAGGTGTTTTCCATGGAAATAATCCCATCCTGTCTTAAAACGCCTTCATGAAACACTCCTGCTTCCTCAAGAATGTGCAGATCTATGATGCCCCCACTTCCTTTCCACTCACTGCAGCTGAAGCACACCAGCTCACCCATGACTTTGCTCAAACTTAAACCTCGTCAAATTGTAATATTCGAGTAATTTAACTGTGCATGAAACTGATTCTGAAGAGCAAAAATGATTCATGATTCTGTGTTCATGAGCTCCACCATGACGTTGAACGCTTATTTCGCTAATTATGTGTATTCTAGCTTTTTAAAAAACACCAGATGGAAATTTAAATTCAGTTGGAAAGTTGTTTTTTACTAGAAGAGGTCTTTATTGGAGTAGTTTGACAGTTTGGGAGGGAAATAATAAGCCTAATAGCACTTGCATGTCTGTTTTAATCCATCACCCGCCACAGTTAGCTTAGCACAAAGAGCGACAACAGGGAGAAACAGCTAGCCTAGCCACGTCTGAAGGAAGCTAAATCTTCCTGGCAGCAAATTTAAAATGATGTACGTTTTCCTTTTCTTATTTCCTAAGAAGTACTGAAGCCACGAAGCTAGCTGGTTTCCTTATTTCCAGTTTTAATACTTTGCTTCGCTAAGATGGCTGCCGGATGTAATAAAAAAACCCTGTTTTATGGAAAACGCTTGACTAGTTCTGTCTAAAATTAGTAAAAGTCACCTCTAAGATTCCCACATGACCAACTTGCATCTCATTTGTTTAATTTGTACAAAAAGCAAAGTGTAAAAACAACACATTGTGATTTTAGAAGGGGGTTGTGTCCTTAGCCGAGCATAATGACTAGCATAGATTAGCTTCTTTGCCTAACTATCTTAACTGGCTGCTAGCCGTAGCTTTGCATTTAGCATAAAGATATGAGAGTGTCAATGTACCTCTCAGCAAGAAAGTGAATTTAAATAAAATTTCAGATGAACGATACATCCTGAAGAGCTGAGGTTAGCAGGTTTATCTATTTCTAGTCTGAATGCGCTGCTAAAATTAAGCTAGGCTAAAATGGCTGCTGCATGTAGCCGTCTAAAAAATGTTTACGATTTAATTCTCTCAATGTATACTCATTATTATTGTCATTTAATTTTCTTTAAAGGATAAGTTTGTGATGTTCCTTTTGGATTTTAATAGGACACATGGCATTTTAGTTCTCCGTTATTACATTACACCTCCTCACTTTCTCTCACAACGCAGACATTGCTGCATAATTTCATCTATTTCTCTGTAATTTTCTCCCTTTTTAAGAAAGTTCACAGAGAGGAGCTGCAGGCAAACGTCTCATTTCTTCTTGGAAAACAACTTTTTTGGTCATACATGCAAAGTCACCATGTTGTGTAAGGATCCCTTCATGAGCCGTTTCCCTGACAAAGCGACCGTCTCCTGCCAGCTTTGATGTAATAATACGTACCTGGCAGGTGCTCATTATCCACAACAACTATTACGCACTGAGAGGCTTTAGGCTGTGGTTAGTGGGATTTGAGGTCAGGCTTAGGACGGTTCCTCAGCAGGGGCAAATAATGATTAACTGCATGAGGAGTAAGGCTTTGTGCACCTTTTAAATCTTTTTTTTTTTTTATGTGTTTGCAGAGAGAGTGTTTCCTCAGATCTGGATAACAGCGAGTGCTACAGGAGGTCGGTGGATAACTGTTGAATTTTGAGAAACTAAATTGAACTTGAACTTGGTCGCTCTGGCTTAAAGTGTCGTTTAGATGTTAAAAATATTCCCCCTGCCTCCCCAGCCCCCTGCTGGCCTTTGTCCAGACATGGTTGGATGAGTACAGCGAGGACTTCAGGGACCCTCCCCTCCACCCGGCGCTCAGGCTGCTCTTGGATCACCTGAGGATCAGCTCCGCGGTGCATGACGGCATGCGCAGCCAACCCAACTTCTGTTCGCTGGCTGGGCAGGCCGAGGCGCTGCTCAAGAGGCTGCAGAAAGAAGGTGACCCTCCACCACGTATCACAACCTGGAGCCTTTGTCCACATACCATCATAACATTATTGTTAAAAATCATACAGTTTTTTCTACAACCCATGCTTTCCACTGTGTGTTTTTTTATCCAGATGTGGCTTCAAATGTCACTTCAGCTCCGGCAGATCTTGAGCAAGACGAGGAGGGTTCCGGCGATGAAGATTCAGGATGTGAAAGCTCTGTGGATCAAGGTGGCGTCATGGATTTCTGTGCTGCAGCCGTTGCTGAAGAGCTCACTCGGATGGACTCTGTACGTTAGAAGTGATATTCACTGTCCGCTCTGTCATTTCTGTAGTGCGTTACACGGATGATTAAAAACTGATGAGTGGTTTTCTCCACATTTCAGGCTCTGTTTGTCAAAGTGGTGCCGTACCAGTGTCTGGGTTGTGTGTGGTCGCAAAGGGACAAGAAGGAAAACATGTCTCCCACCATCCGAGCCACCATCGCGCAGTTCAACGCCGTCACCAGCCAGGTCATCATGTCTCTGCTCTGCCAGCCTGCAGACGCCAGTCCCACCTCCTCCAGGTTTCCCCCGACATCGCCACAGCAACGGGCTCGCATCATAGAGAAGTGGATCAAAGTTGCACAGGTCAGTTCATGTGGTGGTGTGATGGAACGATGCATCAGGCTTTGGCACATTTTTAATCCATGACAAGACTTTGTGAGTGTATTTATTAACACAAAGCGTGCACACTGCAGTATTTTAGCATGATCCAAATCCACTGAATGCATGTTGTTTCTCCTGCAGGACTGTCGTCGGTTGAAGAACTTCTCCTCCCTCAAGGCCATCCTGTCGGCGCTCCAGTCTAATGCGGTTTACAGGCTGAGGAAGACCTGGGCTTCAGTCAGCAGGTACGCTTAGATTATAGCCGTTTAAAGGCCACAGTTTTCTCCCGTTTCTATGGTTTCAGTTATGTGCTTTTCTACATAATCACGCTTTAACGAGGGGCGTTGAACCCGCATCAAGTGCAATTCGACGACACTGACGGAGCGAAGTCAGCAAATGTCTCGCTCTGGGGTGACCCAGATTCTGTGTCGGGTCACGAACATTACAGGAAGGCATCGTAAACCGAAGGATACGTGAAGGATAACTTCGTGTTGTTCTCTTTATGGTGCAGTCATCTGGCAATGAAGCGCTCGTTTGCCAAATTTTAGCACCAGTTATTACGTATAATGGGAGTTAATTATTAAAATATCCGGCGTTGGATTAAACAGCTGTGTGCGTTTCTGGTCTTTTTGCAGGGATAGCATGGCCACGTTTGACAACCTCTGCGAGACCTTCCCTGATGAGAACTGTGTTCTAACTAACAGAGAGCTCCTGGTGGAGGTGAGGAAAAAAAAAAAGCACTTTTACCTGAAAGCTTCCTTTGTTAATGCACAGAGAGTTTGATCAGACGTTTCCCTCAACAGGATAGAATCAATAGTTTGTATTGACACTAGATGTCGGCCATGTTTGATCTACTGGGACAACATCCAGAGTTATGGCGAACAAAAATGACCCATCTGTCAATAAATACCTGTTAGAACAATGGACATACTGGTGGATTAATCGTGGACTTGCTTGAGTTATCTTAGGATCTTAGGACTCCCAACTAGTCAGTCAGAGCTGATGAAGCCTCTTGGATGAGAGGTGGAACGTCTTCAAGGAACTCAAGCAGTTGCTATGATTAAACTCCCAGAACAACCATGACCTGGATAACTGAGAAGCTTCACAGACAAACAATGGACATCTTCAGGAGGAAGCGCAGGAGACACAGCCAAACACCACAAAAGCCCTGTTTACAAAGGTCTAGCATTACCTTTGTTATTTGTAAGACTTGAGGAAGTCGTGTGTGATCTTAGGCCCGTGCAAATCTACAATATCTGTAATTTGACCAGTAAAAGTTCCACCAGAAAGTCCCGTCCATATTTTGCCAGTCCTGTGGTAATATTAGCATTGAGGTCCGGTGGTATTTGTTTTGTTTTTTGTCATTTTTTAGCAGGATTTTTTTTAGTTTTCTTCTCACTTTTGCTGCTTTCCGACTCAAATATTTGGAGGCTGGCACTCATGAATGAAAGTTTAAAGTGTTGCAGTTGCAAATTGAGGAGGCTCATGTTACCACACAGCGAATCTTAAAGGATGATTAAACAGATGCTAGATAAATACAGCAGGCTCAACAAGTCCTACGTGGCAGCATATCGATATCATAAAGTGATAAAGTCAGGCTACATTTGAGTCGCTTATCCTGTGCAGGTGTGAAACACAAACACATGGGGGGGTGTAATTTTCAAATCCCATAAAGTCCAAACTAGTCCTGTGCAAATAAGCCTGAAGATAATTCCAATAAATGCAACCAGCTTCTTTGTGAGAAATCCGGGCATGTTGATGACTGTGTGATTTGTCACTGGGTGGGAAGGTGTTTCCACCGTCGATTCTAATCTCAAAATCTTGTTTTTGTGGCTGACGTTCAGATGAATCACATGCAGGCTGTGACAGAGCTCTGCACACGGATGACAGCGCGTTAGATCTGAATTAGAAATCCTGCCAATCAGGTGGAAACACTCCTATAAATTATCACAAGAAAGGCCTGTTGCTCATTTTTGACCCCATCAGAGGGTTAATGTTTATCCCTGCAAACAAGTCAGCTGTTAGGAGCTCGTGAGGAAAAAACCCAGCGAGTGAAAGCTCAATAAATAAAAACAGAACAAGGCCTGTTTTAGTCTTTTAAAATCACGCGATTGGAAGTTTACGCTAAGAAGAAAAAAATAGCTTCACATGCTTTTGAAATCGATTTTTAATTATTAAAAAGATTAGTTTTCCAGTTAATGTTTACAGAAATGTTTAACGGAGTGTGAAACGAGGGGCCTTGAGCACATTGTGTTCCCTTTTCTTCTCCTCCAGGCGACTGCGTCAGAGCCGTCTTGTGTCTAGTTACAGTGAAAGGACTCGAGTCAATAGATCACCAGCGCTCCTGAGTACACAACATCCAATCCGCTCACGCTCATTCAGAGAGGTTCTTCTCGGGGAAATATTTCCCTGCTTTTCACTTTTTTCGCTGCAGAGTTCAGTCGTTTTATGAAGGAGGCTTTTATCTGTGCAAACACAATCACTCTGTACAGTAACGAAGCCTGTTTGCTGTCCCTTTTGCCGCCGCACAAAGACTTGAGAGGCTTGGAAGTGGCCTCCCTTCCTTTGAAAACTATTAAACAGGATATCCAAGTTAATGTGTAATTGCAGCCTGCTCTTGTGTTGGAAAAGTGGAGGTTGTATTTTGCTTCATGAAGCCAGTTTGCACACATTTAAAGGCAACACATATGCACTCAGAAGGGAAAACGCTGTTATTCTGAATCACTTATTATGTGCCTGCAACCTTTAGCTTTTAACTACAGCTCCGTCTGACTGTGTTTGACAGGACGGAAGCCAAGCGACTGTGGACAACATTTCTCCAAAGATATCCAAGAGGTGTCCGCTCCCCAGACAGATGGTAAGAAGTGCAGCAGCAGGAGGAGGAGAAGCATTCTGAAGGCACAACATGAAGCCAAGTGCCACACATCACCCACTGCAAACCACCACCACCAGAGCACGTCGTGTTATTATTGTCTCGGAGAAATTTTCATCCGAGTCAGAGTTTGCTTTTCAAAGCAGACTCATGCAAAAAAAAAAATCCTTTTCATATTATACAACTTCCAAAAGCCACAAGAGAGCTGATTTCCCTGAGTGTGGGTGGAGTATCTCTGGCATGGCAGAGACCCAAACCTATCTTTAGCCCCGCTCGTTGCTGAACAAGTTTCAAATGGCCACAGATCACCAGGATTATAGGACAGTAATAATAGACCAGACCGGGGGCTTTTATGAGTCATATGCACATTCTCCTGGGCTGTAATATGAGCCCACAGTGCCGCCGGCTGCGTCCTACTTGTGTCGACGTTTTCAACCCCTTCAGCATAAAAAAACGCTAACGACTAGATTCACAGGAGACAAATGAGTAGATCCAGTAGCAGAGGAAAGTATACAGCTGTAGCACTCATGTCTTTACGTGCTGTCTGGTTTGCAGAGCACCTCCAGTGGAGTGATCCCGTACCTGGGCACCTACCTGACCGTCCTCACCATGCTGGACACGGCGCTGCCCGACACCGTGGAGGTACATCATGTGGTCACAGCTCCTCCTGCTCAGCGCTGTTGATGTTTAAGCATCACATATATAAGAAAAAACTGATTTAAGCTCCTTTTAAACATTCACAAGCAGTGCATTAACTGCTTGATTATTGGAAAGAAAACAAACTGATGCTTATGACAAACTATTTGTGGATCCAGAATGAAAATGACAGATATCAAGGACAACATGTTTGTTTCTGATATCTGTAGCATCATTCTGACAGCTAGATACCTGTAATTTAGTCTGAGATGAATTATAGCTGCAGATTAGAACTAGTCTGGATTGTTGCTGTGCGTGATGCTGCTCATGCAAAGCTTCTAATTGGATCCTGCAGAGCATTTGCAGAAGTAACGGCAGCTGCTGTGGTGGATAAAGAAATGCATTAAAAAAGAGTTCATTAGCAAGAAGTTTGTAAAGAAGGAACTCTATTAATTTTAAAGTTTTGGTCACTAAAACTCTTCTGACACTGCAGTGAAGCAGCTTGTGTTGTAGTGTGTTTGGAAAACAAGCTGCTGCAGCTTCTTACATAACTACAGATATCTGCAATGTCACTTCTTTACATATCTCGACTTGGCAGAATTTCAGTTTACATCATTTTGATTAGCCGTAATTCCAGTGAAAGATACCGACAGCATTGTTCTGTTTAGGTTAAAGTTAAGTGGAGATATCGTTAAAGTACAATATGAGAGGAATCAAAGGTAACTGTAAGCAGAATTATGACTGATCAGAATTTAACTGCAGATATCTGAAACTTTAACTCGCTTTAAGTTTAGATATCCGCAATGAGAAACACATAAACGGCAGCATGAAGTGTTTTTTTAATTTGTCCTGGAGGAATGATGACGTTGGAAATCTGAAATGTTCTTTCCCACGAGGAAGAATTGCGTTTCGGGTTTCAGCGTGTCTTTTCACCGGCTCTCAGTGTGTTTAGCAATAATATTTACACTGAAACTCATTTTTATTAATAGCAATTTGCAGTTTAAAGGTTGTGTAGTCGCACCGAATTACAAAAGCTCCTCTAGTGCACTTAGTTTGCTAACCTAGTTTATGCCCATTTTTCATTCGCTGACAACAGAAGAAAGTCAACAGATAAGCTTGGGTCAAGTGTTAGCTACGACCGAGTATCGCTATCTCACAAGGTGCTGCAGCTGATTCTTTTTTTTTTAGCCTTTATTTGAGAGGACAGTAGAGAGAGAGAGAGAGACAGGAAAGTGGGGAGAAGACTAGGGCAGGGACCTGCAGCAAATGGCCACAGGCTGGATTCGAGCCCACGGTCGTTATAGCCCCAGTACATGAGTCGCCAGCTTAACCAGTTGAGCTACAGTGGTGGCTTCTGTCAGTTGATTCTTTACTGCAGTTGCCAGGTTGCTGTGGTTTGGTTTTTAGATTTGGTTTGTTGTGCTGTTGTAATGTTCTTTTAGGATAAACCAGGTGTCAGATAAATGAGATTCAGGTCTTCAGATATGATTCTACTTTGTTTTAAACTTCAGTCGAGGCCTTGAAGCAGGTGGTTTAGAGGTCACTTTGTGAATCAACTCATTGATTCATATAAATAAACACTTCATATTTCTTATTCAAGTGCTGATTTTTATCTCTTCTAACTTGTTCATATGCTGCTTAGAAATACTAACCACGGGGGATTAATCAAGTGTTCATTTCTTCATGCAATCAATCACGGACGTGCAGTAAATTAACGTGCTAACAATCTCCTCTTTTGACAGGGCGGACTCATAAACTTCGAGAAGCGGAGGAGGGTGAGTGGTTCCTCTTATGTCATCTTTTATGCATCCCCCTTTATTTGCCTTTTTTTTTTTTCCACGTCAGTCACCAACCAGCGATCTGTCAGCACTACATGCAGTGTGTGTGCAGAACATGTGCTCCATCAATGCAAACAGCACATTCCTCAGGACATGTCGTGCTAAAAGTCAGAGAGCTTTTTCAGACATGAACACATATGCTCAGCTTGTTTGTATCACCTTGTGAGAGTTATGCAACCGCACAAATAGCAGGAGTCGGGACATGTTGCAGCGGTGTGACACTCCTTTCTCTGCCTGCAGGAGTTCGATGTTCTGTCGCAGATCCGAGCGCTGCAGGCGTCCTGCTCCCAGTACAACCTCCCCCATCACCCCAGGGTGGCCGCCTGGCTGCAGGGACACCGGCTGCTCACCGATCAGGAGAGGTGAGCTCAATAAAGTGTTGTTTCGTTTCACCCGAACGCACACACAGTGTCACAAGCAGAGGGAGGCGTGCCGAGAGGCTCGACGAAGTCTGGTAGTTGCGAAATCCGAAAATCTGCTTTGTGAAAACGTTCCTTGTGTCACGGAGGAGCACAACCTGCAGGGAGGCAAATAAAGGTGTGCTGCTTTAATGATACTCCACTCAAAGGAGAAATATGCCCAATAATTTATCAAAAGGTGCAGTTAGGCTGAGATAAGGCGTCTGCAGTTTATGAGTTCTTGCTGTCAGCTGAGACGTGATCATGGAAACCTTCTAAAGAATCCATTTGCTTGACATTTATAATGCAATAATTGGTAATTTGTGTGAGTTATATGAGCAAACCCCAGCATTTACTTAGTATTCAGAGGTCATAAAATCTACTACTGTTTTAAATAGTAGACGCACAGGAGCTGGAGTAAATGTATAATTCATGATAAAGGTAGATAATAAAAAGAAAACATCATGTGGGAGTTCATTTATGTGGCATTTAGGAAATTAATAAAACTCAACTTATTGTTAAACTCCTCCTTGTATAATTGTGTTGGACTGACTTTTATTTTATACTATAATGTTTTATAACAAATGGTACCTTATCAGCCGATCACCTGCACAGTTAGCTCCTGTTAGCTAAAAGCTAATACGAACATAAACTGCACACGAACACCACACAAAGTAGCTAAACCTTTATTTGGCTTTATGATGCTTCTTATGCAACCCACCTAGATGTGTAACTAGTAATATATTCTGTGGTTTATCTGCTGTCTGTGTGTGTAAAACTGGATATAAATCAGTAAAAGTGGCTCCAACCTGCAGCAGCTACAGCAGTAACATGCTGCTATTAATGATATATTAAACATCATGTGCAGTAATATATGGGCTGCAAGGTGGCTCAGTGGTTAGCACCGTCGCCTCGCAGCAAGAAGTTTGTCGGTTAGCGTCCCGGTGAGGACACCTGGGATCTTTCTGCGTTTGCATGTTCTACGAGAATAACCTTTTAGCTTTTTGAAAAAAGTCTTGGGAGTTACAAGTACTTTGTATGGCTGCTCAGTTGACTGTTTTTTGGCACAATGACTCTTTCACAGGTGTCTCAAATCCAACAAACACTGTATTGAAAACCACTGATATGTACAGTTTAAAAGAATGATACGGTCTTGATTTGTTTTTAACTACAAGTTGAGGTTCAGGAAGTTGTCTTATCTTATTGTGGACAGTCAAGTACGTTGGATGCCGACACCATCAGAGCAGAACAGGCAGATTATTATTATGATCTGTTTATATGAGAAAAATGCAGCGTAGGTTCTCTCCGGCTTCTCCGGCTTCCTCCCAAAGTCCAAAAACATGTTGAGGTTAATTGGTGATTCTAAATTGTCCGTAGGTGTGAATGTGAGTGTGCTTGGTTGTCTGTCTCTAAGTGTAGCCCTGTGATAGACTGGTTACCTGTCCAGGTGAACCTGCCTTCACCCTGAGTCAGCTGGGATAGACTCCAGCCCCCCATGACCCTAGTGAGAATTAAGGTGTAGAGATGATGGATGGATGGATGTATTGGTACTTTTACTTAAATAATGCCTCTTCCACCACTACTGAAGAGACTGTGTAAGCAACGGTAGCTTTTTTATTTAATGTTTTTGCTAGACAGAGAAAATGAGCCTCTTTTGTCTTTAAATAAGTTGTGTGAACAACATCAGCAGTATTTTCTAAAAATATGTTTATTATTGGACACTTTGGAGGCTCCATAAAGTAGATCTGTGTTTGGAAATAAACTGAATGAGGGGGAAATGAGCAGCTACCAACAAATAACATGTTGTGTCTTTGCTATAGAAGAAGTTACAAAAATACACCATCACTTTTGCCAAAATTAAAAAAAAAACAAAACATGTGAGTTATCTCTGTATGTATCATGTATGTTGTGCTTCCAGAACAATTTTTTCTCTACATTAGAGGCTGTAATCGAGGATTAGTGTACTTACGTGTGTTTTTTTGTTCCAGCTACGAACTGTCACGACAGCTGGAGCCTCCAGTGGACGTTTGCTCACCAACAGCCTGGAGCCACCGCACGCTCACCAAGAAACTCTCTTCGTGAGTATCACGCTCGGGTTTGTCTGGTTTGCATATTCAAACAGACACATGCAGTTTTTTCCTACAAAGCACACAGAGCGACACACAACTCAGAGCTGGAACAAACAGGATGTGAAAAGAATGTTTAAAGTGTGTTTAGCTTCCTGCAGTGAAATAAAACTACATTCATTTTATAATTCTGTATTAAGTGCATCCATCTTGTAGTAAATTAATTTGGTGTGACATCTTTGACACAAACTCATGTTAAATCTCCGTCTTCTAGTCTCCTCTCTGTGACCGATGGATCAAAGAAGGTCCCTGCTGACCAGATCAGCGTTTCGTCCTCTGGATCCAGTGGATCTGAGATGGAGGATCTCTCGTCCCCGAACTCAGCCTGTTCCATCAGACTGCAGGTAAACAGCTGCGTATGTTTCCCTCCCATTGTCTCATATCTTTGTTTTCTGTCCCTCTTTGTTGCCAACAGCAGCGTCTTTGTTAAAAGCTTTGTGGTTCTGTGCCGTCATCAGAGCGGGTCTCTGTGTTCAGATGAACATTCACCATTTACACAAACAATCGGCCCATTTGAAGCAGTCAAACCCAACCCTGAAGCGTTTCTAATGAGAAGTAAAGCACACTGAATGGCTTTTAGAACTTACATAATCTTCCCTCACAAAAGATCCTCTCTAAAAGGTCATCGAAACTAGTGCGGGCTCTCCACGAGTGGAATTTCAATTGAGCAGGTCCTTAACTGACGGTTCAATGCTACACGGCTCTCACTGCTTCACAGCGGCTCAATAGCTGAGCTGCTCTCTGCAGGCCAACCACTCCTGAATCACTACAAACACCGTCTTCTTTAACGCTGCAGCACTCATCGTTGCTCTTACTCTTGTTTCTCTCCGCTGCAGTCCTTTCACAGCTCTTACACCAACGTGTCCGAGGCCTTCTCGTCCTCCTCGTCCTGCTCCTCCTCGTCCTCCCCCTGCTCCTCAGCTGCTTCGTCTCCGGACTCCAACGCTTCGTCCAGCTCGTCCTCCGACTGCGTGACCGACCTGTGCTCCGCGGCCTCGTCCTGCGGCGGCGCCCGTCCGAAGCCGCCCCTGGCCTCCCACCACAAACGCTCCGTGTCCATGACCTCCCTCCCCGTCTACAACCGCCAGGTGGCCGACTCCTGCATCGTCAGGGTGAGCGTGGACCTGGGACACAACAACGGCAACATGTACAAGAGCATCCTGGTGAGTTCATCCTCGAGGAGTTAAACATCTGATAAGTCATTTTTTTTATGTTGTATTTTATAGTTACAGACAGATAGTATAAAA